AGCCCACTATAGCATCCGAAGAAGTGGGCTATAGTCCACGAAAGCTTATGCTCTAATAAATTTGTTAGTCTCTAAGGTGCCACAAGTCCTCCTGTTCTTCTTTTTGCAAAAGGGAAAAGAATCTGCTCTAATTGTTCATAAATCTCCCAGTCTTTTGTTCTGTAACAATGTGATCGTTCTTTAGACAGCACTGCTAGCAGAATTCCTGGTATTTCAGTTGCTGTAGAAATAGAACGGGGCCACTTTTTTTTCAATGACATCCATTACTTTCTTTGATAACTTTTTCTTTTTTCTGCCCTTTTTTAAGCGAAATATATGATGAGCGAAATGGCTGATCTCTATTAAAATCCATGTGGAAAACAGGTTTGTTTTTTCTCCCTCCCTCCCTTTTGCTGCTATGTAGATGCCTACCTTTTCTATTGTGGGAGGGTTTAGAAAACCACCCCCGGCTGCGTCTTTCTGGGAATGCTGCACACAGCATAAGGAGAGGAGATTTGAAAACCAAACGAGTTGTAAGAGCCAAGCAATGAGAAAATAAGAGGAGGCACAGCTATGCTCTCTGAGATGGGATGGCTTCTCTTGTCTGTTCTGTAGCTGTCCCTGATGAGAAGGAGAAAGCAAAGATTTGCACTAGGAAAGAGAACCTAACATACAGCTTCCTTTATCTTGTCCCTCCCATCTCCTCCACTGAGACGATGCTAAAAGAAAAGACTAGATTGAGTGTTTGAGGATCTGCCTTATATGTGGGTTTACCGAGGTCCCTCTGCTGGATGGAGTGAGTGCCTGCCTGGCCACCTATGGGCTGGTCAAGGGGATAAAATCCTCACTACTGCTGACAGCTGAATGAAGGTCTCCTTTGGCATAAGGGCTACGCATCTGTAGGGGAGTTTTGAGCTAAGGGAGAAATTATTATTATTAATTTGTATTGTGAAACCACCTCGGAGCCCCAGTCCTGTCTTCAGGACCTCACTGTGCTAGCACAGAACCAAAAGATGGTCCCTGTCCCAAAGAGCTGACTAGCTAAGTATTCTGCCTTGCTGTCAAAAGTGCTAAAGGTGATCTGCAATGGCTTTTGGTTGCATCCTTCATTTGTTGCTCTGTGGTGTGTAAAGAAGGGATGGGAAGCTCTTCTTCTTAAGCTTTGTTTTCCTCCTCTTCCCCCAAAGCTTAGAAATATCAGGGATGTCAAGTCTGGTCTACCCTGGGTTAAAGTCCCTGCTCTGCCACAGACTTCCTGTGTGAACTTGGCCAAGTCACAGAGCCGCTATTCCCCATCTGTACAATGGG